TTGTAAATTAACGTAATCAGATTATTATTTATAGATATGTTTATTACTAACTAAGTAAAAAAAAAAAAAAAAAGAGGAAGTCAACTAAATGCATAGTGAATATAAAAAAAAATAAAAAAGCTTAAAATTCATTTCACTTTCATATATATAAATAAAATTAAATAAATGGGGAAAAAACAGGATTGTCATAATAAAAATAATTACGAATGATTGAATTGTTGGGTTTTAAAGGTGTGAATAAGAAATGAAGAGTTGTGTTTTTTCTAAGGGATTGTGACCATTTGAAAGGTTGTGTCTCATTCAAAGGATTGTGACTTTTCTAAAAGGTTGTTCCTTTTTCAAAAAGTTGTGACTTTTATCCTCTGTTGGCAATAAATATAGTGATTTTCTCTCATTTTTCTATATCAAATCAAATTCTTCCCTTCTTCTGCATGCATTTGTTCCAAAATAAAATTGATCGATCGTGTTTGTATGTGTGATTCGTCGCTGTCTTTTTTAGTTCGTCGAACCGCTACTTCGTTAATGGTTAATCCATTTTATCTTGGGAGGAATTAATCTACAAACTCGGATACTTGAGGGAATTAAAAATTTTAAGGACACACAATGAGTTCTGTGAACTCGGATAGTTCATTTCTTTTTCATTTCATCTTAATTGTTTCTGATTTGTTAATCTGAATACATGAGATAACATGTATAAGTTGAGAAGACACATCAAATTGTACAATGTTTTGCAGTGAAAGTTTGAAAAATTAATTCACTCATAACAACTGTAATGTTCAGGTTAAAATGACATAAAAAAAGTTAAAAGTTAAAAGTATTGAAGTGTGACTTTACTTGTCACGGTTTGACTTGACACATTCATTAAATAAATAATTATTAATATAAGTATTTTACCTAACTATATTTATTAAATGATGTTTAATATTAGGTTGTAGAGAAGTATTTAATGTTGAGGATAAAATATGAAGAAAAAAAATTGTTTTCCTTAATATATCAAAAGTGACAAATAAAAATAAAAAACAAGTAAAAATGAATAGAAAAAGTACATTTTAAAGCTAAGTCAAGCATGCTCTCAGTGACAAGTTCCTAGTTGTTAAATTACCCCTCGGATTTTACAATAATCCTTTCTAGAGCCTGCTTAAATTAAAATAATAAAATTATTTTTTTAATATTAAATTTACAAGTATTTTGTTATTACGTAAATAGACTATGACATATAAAATGAAGAGGAAGTTATGAGTTGTATTATGGAAAAGTATTTTAAAAATTAAAAAATTATCAAGCCTCTGTTTGGCCATCAATAATATTAACAAGTATTTTGGTACATAATTTTTATTTTACTTTGAAATTATTGTTTGATCATGATAATTTTAAATCAAATTTGAAGTTATATTTCAACATTAGAAAAATAGTTAATTAACATATTTCTTAATTCATGTTTCGCTTTTAAAGCTGTATGGTACATTCCACCAAAGATTCGTTGTAAAAAATAACAATATACGTATAAGTTTATAAATAGATGTGGGCATGGTATGGTGTATATTGAAATATTATATTATATCAAAAAATTTAATATCATGATTTTGTTATTATGATATTTGGTATGGTATATGGTATACATTTTAAATTTTTTGATATTCGGTACAGTATTTGATATTTGGAAATAACATACCGAAATATCGAATATCATTTCAAAGTATATAGTTACATAAATAACATATATATTATTAAAATATTAACAAATATGCAACTTAGTATTACTATAAACTAAGGGGTCGTTTGGAAGAGTGTATAAGAATAATGCAAAATATGGTGCATTAGTAATGCTTGCATTAGTTTCGCAAACATTATTTCTTATACACTGTTTGGTTTGATCTAATTAAAATAACAAATCTTGCATAATTTCTATTTTAAAATATATGTTTACAAAATACCCTTCACACTTTATTTATTTTTACACTTCCTTGCAACAAAGTTCTTTGCTAAAACATCATTAACTCCTCCTCTTCTTCTTTTTTTCAAAAATAATACTCATTAAATAGTTGTACTATTTGAGTCAAAATCTTTTTGTGAAAAGTTGGCAAATAATTTTTTTTATCAAATTTATCGCCATAATAGTAAATTTTTTTTATTAAATCATTTTGAAATTATATTTTTTAAAAAAAAAAAAACTTAAGAGGCCATAAAGTCTATTAAAACACCAACAAATTAAAGACATTGAAAAACAAATTAAAAATAAATAAATATATGACTAGAAAGAATATGAAAAGAAGAGAAAGTGTTAGGCAATGTTTTAAAAAGACTTTGAGGGTAGTTTTGTAATTATTTGATCTAATGCAAGTGTCAAATGCTATGTATTACTAATACCAAGTAACACACAATTTAATACACAATAGAGTGTATTAATTATACATGGCAAGAAAAAGTGTATCAAACAAAGTACTACTAATACACACATAAATGTTTAGAAGTTATAACTTTGACAACTCTATTTTGATTGAAATGTAATTGACTTATAGAGAAGTTATTTGTACTGTATTTAGCATATATATATATATATATATATATATTATATTTCTACATGTGTAATGTACTAGTATGATACAATTGAGATTTTTTTTAATTGTCGAAGTCATAATAATCTATAATATGAGTATATATTAATCTAAATTGAACAAATTATGATTATCGATTTATCATACCGTAAAATACTAAAATCGAAATTCAATATATATATATATATTATATTTCTACATGTGTAATGTACTAGTATGATACAATTGAGATTTTTTTTAATTGTCGAAGTCATAATAATCTATAATATGAGTATATATTAATCTAAATTGAACAAATTATGATTATCGATTTATCATACCGTAAAATACTAAAATCGAAATTCAATATACCGTATTATACCAAAATTACCATATCAAAACTTTCAAATACTGTATTGTACATGACATGCCCACCCCTATTTATAACTATTTTAGGGTCGATTAATTTATAACTTCTGCTTATTTTAATTTATTTCATATTACATAAGTGGAATTTTCCCTCTTAATTTCTTCCTTCACCACCAAGACAACTTTCCCAATTTCTACTTTTCCGAAGAATTCTCCTCTTCCAACAAATTAACTTACATATACGGTAAACTCAAAGATCGTCGGCAAGGTTTTTCCGGCGAAGCTGCTTCAGCACGGTACCCTTCTGTCGGAATTTCTTTTTAGCTCTAATACAGTAACAGATGATAGTACATATATGTGCATTCCTTTGAAATTGCTAAGAAATCGATAAGTGCATTGTAGATTCTCCAGCTGTATTTGAAAATTTTGCGTTTAATTTTACAACAAGCAACGGAGAAATTACTCTATTCCTGCTTAAATAGTAGCACTACAGTTGCTCATTATAATACTAATGTGGGTTTTATAGTTGAATCGCTCGTTTTGGCTTAATAAAATGTAGTTCATTGAATTTGAAGCATCAATCGAACTGTAAGAATTTTGTTAGGAAGAGAGAAAAAAATGACTTTTAAGTTGGAGTTGGGTTGCTATCAGAAGAATCGTGAAGTAGTTTAGTGAAAGAGCAACGTATAACTTCCTTTAGTTTAATTTTACTCAATGCTCCAATTTTTATTTTATTTTTTTGCCTGGTTTGGTAATGCGTCGTTGTGTCGAGTTTCTATCGGAAACAACCTCTGGAGCAAATGGAAGGAGACGTCATGCAAGCCGAAGACTTTGACAAGTATCGGTAGGCACGCCTCTAATAAGGGTTCGATCCTGAGAATCAATCCCAATCGAATCTATGGAAGTGAGACTCTCTATCCTCTTAATCTTTAGAGTAGATATTATATGTAGGATAATAAGTCCACTGCTTGTGCCCAAGACAAGGTAAGATGAATAGGAATGTTGAAGGGACATAAGGTTCAGCTCTTGAGTAGATTGCCCATAGAATGGAGCTTACTCCAAGATCTGACTCCCCCGGTGTAGGAGTTCGGGTAGGCCAGAAGTAAACAAAGAGCGGTAGAAGAGAATAAAGTGTTGTGCCCCTTCTTTTTTGATGCCCGGCCCAAGAGAGAGACCCAAGTCCTAGTAGCCCTGCCAAATGGTGATTCAACATAAATTCTACATCTTGAAACCAAGCCAATTTTGGTGCCGCTTTATGATAATGAAACCAACCAGCAAAAAGCATTAATGCTGCAAAGACCAATGCCCCAATTGATGTACATAGAGTTGTAATTCACTAGTTATCCAGATGCTTGCCAAAGCTGGAAAAAAACAGAGGTTATTTGTATTCCTCGGAAACCCCGCCTATGTCACCATTTAATCTTTCTTGGCCCCACTATTGGCCAAACCACCTGGGCACTAGGCCCAATGTGCATTTGGAAAGCGCCAGTTCGAATCTGGTTCGTGACAGGGCCTTGGTCCATACAGATGGGATAGCGACCTTTTACCTCACAAAGCCAGTGGTACATGCTACGTACATCCTACATTTCTAGACCTCACTTGTGGTTGTGGGATTACATTGGGTATGTTGTTGTTGTTTCAATTTTTTTGGTGGATATTTCTTCAGATATTGAATAAATTATTTGAAATCCTTCTTAACCTTATCTAAGCGTGAAACATAGGTTTAGACTTTAGATTATCGTTCTGTCTAGGATTCATTGAGGTTTGTGTTTAACTAGGTAAAAAATCATTTACAGAACTAGAATCATAAAAAGGGATAATATTGTTTTCTTTTATACCCGCAGTGTCCGAGCCAAACTTTTGTGTGCTTCAACTGATTCCACGGGGTATCTTATGCTTATAAGTTCTACCATAGAAGATATAGCCTAATGTTTTCGCCTCCACTAGTATTTAGACGTGAGAACTCGTGGTTCTCAATCCACTTCATTAACCACTAGACCTCACCACCTGGCTAATATTTAACAGCCCAGGAACAACGTATTGAACTTTCGTGATACTTTATTTTGATTTATTTCTTTTCCTGAAATATCATTGCAGAGAACTTCCTTCATTTTGACTATTCACAGTAGTCAATCCTAGTCTCCTAGAAGATGAGGAGGCAGCTGATGAAGTCTTGGCAGCGGCTCTGTAGGCTTATAATGGTAAGCCAGTTACTTCAATTGAAAATTTGACTTGCCATTAAGTCATGCTTATTAGCAAATCTTGCAATTTATCTTCTTCTGAAGCTAAAATCCTTGTTTAGATTTCTAGGCCCTTTGGAAAGCCATTGCGAGATAAGGCGATGGCAGTTGCTGGAAGAGTCGCTATAATGGAAGAAGGGATGACTTTGAAAGCTTCTTGTCCAGTGTGCTTACAAGTTCTAAGCACACCACTTGATTCTGATCTAAAAATGACACTGGCTGTACACATGAGCTTATGGCACGCAGATGATGTTCAACTGCATTGGGAGCTGATGCAAAACAAAGGAAGATCAATTGTTCACATGCCTTCTTTCTGCTTTGGAGCTGGGATGGCTGCTGGAATTGGTACTCTGATGGTTATTCTTGCCAGAAGTCATGCTCAAGCATTTGGCAATAAGAGGTGAAGTTTATCTCTAATTCCTACTAAAAAGGGTCTATGATGATTCTCTGTGTTTTGCCGCTAGTTTTTGCCTCAGTTCTAAAGAATTAGCCTAGTCTAAAGCTTCTAATTTGCAGTGTTAGGAAAGAACAAACAGAGAGAAATTCATGAGCTTGTATTATTGAACGACTAAGGTTATATGAAGATCCATAGATGGTATAGTAGTTTGAGACAGAAAAGTAGTTTTCCTATATCTCTATGATACCAGGATGATGTGAATTTTGTTCTCATGCTCATTTACTGCTAGACCACACCTTTGGCTTTTTTTTTGTTCCAGATATGTGTCCCTAGTTACTATTTGTGTATTTGTTATCGTAACCTTTTAAGTTCCTTCCTTTTTTAAACGTGTCTAGGCCAGCTCTTGCAACTGCTACCTCCACCAGTTTAAGTACTGATTGCTTAGTGTTATAGGTTTTGCTGGAATTTGAACATGAGACGGATACCTGATAGTTCTCTTGCTTCATTTTACTGCTAAACTACACTTTTGGCTTCTTTTTTTGTTCCTTCCTTGCTCAATGTCCATTCAAAAATAGAGAGTTTATTCGGTAACAAAACACTTCTATAAAAATCATAAATTATAGTGATTAGAAATTAAAAGCTACTTATTTTCCAAATACATAATCACTAAAAATTATTCTTGGCTTCAAATGTCTGACCAAATTGCCAGTTATCAGGAACAACATTATCAGATTGAACCAATTTGCCATCGCTAGTTTGTACTTGGAAAGACAAGGTTTGTCCTGCCAACTGCACAGAAGCCTGCCAATTTTGTCCCCAATTCCGCGACATTGGTAGCCATTCAGTCTTAGATCCTTTGATTTTGACATTGACAACATCTCCAACACCTCCCACATTGAAAACAAGAACAAGAATCCAATTAGGATTCCCTTTGATCTCAAACTTTAGACCACCTTTTTTCTGGCAAGTAACTCTTCTGTAAACAACTGGTACAACCCCTGCTTTGTACTCAGCAATCTTTAAGAACATAGGCAACGACAGATCAAAGTGATGTTGTGAAGGATTGCACCAAATGTCTTCAGTTTTTGTGTAATTTGGAGGGCAGAAATTGGTGGCTGTTATTGTTATGATTTGGCCTGGATGGCATGCTTTAGGAGCATTCACACACATTATTTGAAAGCAAGCTCCACAGGTAGATCCACTGTTAAAGAGAGCTGTGCTGAGTGCCGCTGTTTCCAGGCCATACCCTTGCTTGAATAAGTCTCCATAACCACAAGCTCCTTCTGCAATATAGTATTCGAATTAATATCTACGTCATGAGAAATCATCAACAACAATAACACATCCATTCAAATTCCACTAGTGAGGTTTGGGGCAAAGTGTATACAGACCTTACATTTATCTCGTGAAGATAAAGAGATTATTTTTGAAGAACACTCAAAAATACATCTTTATCCTTTGAAAATTTTATTCATTTTGGAAGGTAGTCAATTAAACAACTTTAATAAAAAAAACTTTTATATATCTATGCAATATCAAATATTTTTTCAAAAAATAAAATTTTTAGCTTTATCACTGTCTCGGCACTGAGTTAAGTGTCTCAACAACATATGAGGAATTAAAGTATAATTATAACTTACGCATGGTTTCACCACCATTCATGTCACCATAAAATGTAGCACGTGCATTTTTCCATCCATTGGCATGCAAATTTCCTTCTACCTCTTTAGATTCATATGCATCAACTAAAAGTATAATATAAAATGTGATGAACAAAATGAAGAAACTTTGGTGTCTGGCCATTTTAACTAAAACAATTTTTCTCTAATATAGTTTCAAATCACTAATTGATTTAATTTGAATAATGGATTTGTTGTAGACATACAATTTATAGCCATAATATTCTCTTGAGAAGGAGCTAAAATTAAGTAATTATATTAATGAGAATAGATATTGTAATTGGATATAATGGAGTTACCATTTGGAAAATTACGATTTTTAGTTACATAATATTTTTCTATTTTAGTTTATATGATATTTTCTCTTTATTTAACTCATTTTTCAAATCAAATTAACTTAAAATATTTTAAACTAATATTTAAATATTAACAAATTATACAAAAAAATATTATAAGTGCAATTATTCTCATCGTCAACAATATATGATGAAAATAATGCATTTAAAAAATTGTCAAAAATTTACATAATTTAAATCTCGAAAAGCAAAAAATAAAACATAAATTTGGATTGAAAAAGTACCACACAGTACCAATGTTGCGAAGTATAATTTTTGAAATTTAATCCACACTGATACTCATATTCTTATTAATATGAAAACGTATACATAATACATGTTTCATCAATTAGAATGAAGTTAAAAATAGAATAATAGAAAACCAAAATACAACGACATGGTCAAATTCAAATATTCGCATTAAGTTTATTTCTTTACATTTTTTGTCTCATCTTTTCTTTATACGTTTCTTTTCTAAAAAAATTTTCTCATACGTATATTTTGCGCATTCCTTATTTACATTACAATCAATATAATTGATAACTTTTTTTTCACCAAATTTTTTTCCTCTTTTTGAGAATTCTTTTAAGTAATTTTTCTTACCATTTGAACGATTCGTTATTGTTGTATATAACTTTGAGAAACTAAATATAAAACAAACTAAATAAATCATTGTTTTCAATTTAGACCTAAATTTCCGCCATATTATATGGAATCTTTTCTTTCCTTTTTTTTTTCTTGATATACTTGTTTTCTTTTCTTGTACTCCTCTATATTTTTTTTTCATTTTCATTTCCTCCCTTCACTCAAGTTTCTATATATTGCTTACTCCTACTCAGATTACTAAATCTCATTAAATTAATATAAGTGGGATTATAAAATATTATTATTAGTTAATTGATAAATTGATATTTATTAATTTAAAGAAATTAATATTTATTAATTTAAAGAGTGTTTTGAGATTCAACCTTGTGATGTTGGAATAATAAGAGCTTTGATGGTGCAGTTCGTAAAGACAACATCGGAACTTTTGGATACAATAACAAAAGTTAGAGTTGAATTTCAACTAGAATTAAAATTTAACAAAAAAACAAGACACTATAGAATCATATTTTATTAAATTGTCTTAGATTTATTTGTTTTTTAAAAGAAATATCAATTTATAATATTAATGGAACCATATATTTATATAGGAGTCTCTTGAAAATATATTATGTTATTATCTTATCGAAATGTGTGATTTTTTTCCATTGGCCCAAATCAAAACCGGTGAAAAAATTTATCTGAAGAGATTATTAATTTATCGTGTATTAATTTAATAAGATTTTACTGTATTTTCTTTTTAAAAAAATTACCTCATCCTAATTTTATGAAAAATCTACCATACTCAAATTATAAATTGAATGCAAATTGGTTACATTTATTTCGGGGCAAAAGGAGAAGAATCAAAAAAATTAAATAAGGCAAACATACAAACGGACATATAAAAAGATAAAATGCACAAGGAAAACAATAGTAGTTTCCTTCTTGTATGTCAGGGTAGCTAATTTGGTAATTTTAATGTTTCCTTCTTTAAAAAATTGTCTTTTATTACTTTCTATAAATTAAAAAATTATGTAAAAACTAATATAAATCATAAAAATTAATAGCTTAAAATATTTAAAAACATATAAAAAGTCTTAGTTAACTCTCAAATTTCATTTATACCATATAAATTGGAATAAAGGGAGAAATATATATTATGCTAAATACATAAAATATATTGTAAATCACAATAATTAATAACTAGAATATCAAAAAGAACTTGTAAAAAATGGATTCACTTTTGAAAAAATTCATTCGTATCACATATAGAAATACAAAGAGAGTAATAAAAAAATTGAATGACTTTTGAAATTTCATTTGTATCACATAAATCAATACAAAGAAAGTAATAAAAAAAAATTGATTGACTTTTGAAATTTCTTTCGTATCACATAAATCAATGATAGGTTAAGTTGGTAATTTTAAGAGCAACTTTCACATATAGCAAACACAAAAATCATATTTGTATGATATAACTATAGTTTGCATAATTGTGCTCCATAGCAAACTTTGGCTATTAGTATGTATATTTCGCTATACATATATAAAAAAGAAGCAATTGTATAATCTGTTTCGGTATACATATACAAAAGAATCAATTGTATAATTTGTGTTTGTATAAAGTGAGAAAAGAGAGAAAGACAAAAGAAAACTGGGCAGAGGAAGATATGTATTTGTATAATCATAAGTGTATAGGACGAAAATATAAAGCGAGAGAGGCGATGGAGAGACTGCCGAGAGTGGCGAGCGAGATTCACAAGGGAGAGAGGCGAAATAGCAACAGTTTGCTACGAGGTACAATTAAATTAAACTGTGATTATGACATTTAATTTGAATTAATAGTTTGCTATTATATATAATTTTTCCTAATTTTAAGGCCCATTCATATGATAGGCTAATCCTTTTCTGCCCGTGAAACTTAAAGAACTCTCAACCCAGTTAATTGTGTTGCGACTTGATAGTTCTAATTTGTCTCTTAATTTTATTTTTCTTTTATCTTAAGAAGAAAAATGGGGATAGACTATAGAGCAAGGAGAATTAGAAAAGAGATTTATCGTACCACAAAATAATATACTTAAATTTAAAAATATTAAATCATATCGAATTAAATTGATGTAATAATAATAGCATAATTTTATGAATCAAAAATACATGAGAAATTTTCAATACTCTAACATGCTCACTCCTAATTAAAGCACAAAACCTTTTTAATTTATACAAGTGATAAATCATTATTTAATTTCATATAAATAAAAAAAAGGAAATTGTATAAAATAGCAAATTAATAATTCAAATTAAATCCTATAACCACAATTTCATTTAATTCTAATCCGTAGCAAATACTTGATATTCACCTCTCTTCCCAAAAATCTTGCTCGACACTCTCCTTGATCTCGCTCGCCACTCTCCCTCGCCTCTCTCACTTTAACAAAACACAAATGTATAAATTGCGTTCGCGTTTGTATAAAACAAGAGAAAATCGTATATACAAATACATATATTTTTGACCTATACACTTATAATTATACAAATACAGATCTTCCTCTACCAGTTCTCTTTTACTTTTCTCTCTTTCTGGCTTTATACAACACAAATTATACATTGTAAT